TGCATTTTGTGTTTTTTTAAAAAAATATTTTTTCCTTCTTTTTTTAAGAAAACATATTTATCCAAATCAAACCAACTCATTCTTAATTGATTTAGTTTGGTTCCAATCTTAATTTTTTTTTCTTCTGATAAATCTAATCCAAACGAACTTAACAAAATTGATTCATTCTAATATTAATTTATTCCAAATTTAAACCAAACCAGTTCATCAAAACCCCTTTACAAGTCCCACTCAGCTAGATTCAATATATGCGCAGTGACTTTGGTTTGCTTGAATTTATATATGTTTCCCTTATTTTCATAGTGTTTTTCAGTTTCAAGATTTCAGAAAGATCTTATGATGTATTGCCAATTCATAGCTAACATACATGGATTGAAATTTGTAAGCTTATATTCAAGTGTACCTTATTGACAATTTCAATTGTAATGCAGAATCTACTAGTACAAAGTGAATATATCCATGAACCTTGGTATTTTCTTCCTACCTATATTATTGTCCCGATTGTTGCAAATTGCAGGATTTGGGCATGGTTAGTGATCCTAGGCTCCTAACGATGTTCCGACCTACTTAGTCCTCCCCAAATTAACTGAATTATCTTTGCTTCTACCTAATAATTTACAAAAGACAGGTGCCATAACAAAACAACCTAGTGCCCCATTTACAAGTCCCACATCGGACAGTTCATGAAATAACTTGGTCTTTATAAATCTCTCACAAACTCCACTAAATGCCGAGTTAAGTAGCGCTAGCTTGTTACCCAAGCGGGGCATTAAAGTGATGGAACAGCATACAACATTGCTGTCTTGAGCCAGTTACTGCATTATGTTGCGGTGCTTTCTGTTGGTTCACGGTATTTACATCTCGGACTGCCCGGAGGTGCCGCTTTCTAGCCGAAGAGGTGGAGCCTCCTCCGGCGAAACCCCCGGCGATCGTGTTTATTATCTTTCTCGGCCAAGTGTTGTCTTCTCTTGAATTTCGTGAGTGGTCTTTCCTTTCGGCCGAACGGGACCTGTGACGTCGGTCTCTTGGTGGTGACGTTCGCCGACTGTATTCGTCTCTCCCTCTTGGCCGGTGGTCTTGATATATATATATATATATATATATATATATAAAATTATATGTTTTAAATTAAAAATATAAAAGTGTTTACCATCACCTCAATTTACTTATTCTTTTGGCTCACACAACATATAGATACAGGAAAAATATATAAAAGTTTGGACCAATCAAATATGACTTTTAATTTAGTTATAATAAAAGTTAACAAATTAACTATAAATAATGAGTTGTAATTAGATAATAATGTAAAATTTTTAGATAGTCAATATGTAATTTTTTTTCTCAATTAAAGATAGGTAAAATCAGTTAAATGTTATTCATATGTTAAATCAATATACGTAAGTTTATTTATTTATTTATTTTTAATATTCCAAACGGGATGAAATAAACCCTAAAAAGACAAATCTATTATTTCACATTATTAAATAATTAAACTATTTAAGATTTAAATTGTAACTTTAAATATAAAATAAATTATGTTTAACGGATAACATTAATTATGTGCGCGTCCACAATTCGTTTTAAAATTATTATTATTATTTTTAATGATAAATATTTTTTATTAATATCATGACGATTACAATAAATAAATAAAAGCATGGGAACGTGGGCCGATTCCATACAAAAGAGTGAAGGCTCATGATAAACACACCTCCACTCTCCTATAAGCACACCCCCTTTTAAAAAAAATATATATATAAAATGTCTAAATTACCTTTAAAAAAAAAAATTCCTAAATTTACACCCCTCCTTCCTCGCACCCCCTTTCCCGCAAGCAGAACGGGCCGTACTGCAAGCAGAACGGCCCGTACTGCTTGCAATACGGCCCGTTCTGTTTTCAGTGCTGGCCGTTCTGCAGCAAAACGGGCCGTACTGTTTTCAGTACGCCCCGTTCTGCAAGCAGTACGTCACGTTCTTCAATCAGTACGGCCCGTTCTGCAAGCAGTACAGGCCGTTCTGCTTGCAGCAAGGGCCGTTCTGCTTGCAGCAAGGGCCGTTCTGGGGCCGTTCTGTTGCAGTACAGGCCACCGCGTCACTTTTAAAATGGCTACCTTATGACTGATTTTAAAACCCCGATTTTAAAAGTTATTTTTGTACTAATCTTTCTTTTCATAGAACAAGTAAGAGTCTTTCTCATACAAAATCACTTGCCGACATTGCGCACCCCTCTTCTTTCTCTTTCTGACACTCCTCTTCTTCTTCTTCTTACTGTTACGAAAAGTTCTTTCCGGAATTATATAAAAATGTTCCGGAAAATACTTTCCATAATATTAAATTCTTATTCCGGAAAGTATTTTCCGGAAATATTTTGTTATATAATTCCGGAAAGTATTTTCCATAATATTAAAGTTACTATTACGGAAAGTTCTTTCCGGAATTATATGAACAATAATTTCTATTCCGAAAAGTACTTTCCGGAATGTTAATGACTGTAAAAGTACTTTTCGAAATGCTATGACTGTAAAAGAACATTTCTTATGCTGATTATGGTGGGACTAGTCCTTTTTTTCTATTCAGAATGACTGTAAAAGTATATTGCTTAATAACATTGAGCGGAAAGAGGCTTTGGGAAGAAGAGGGGTGTGAAATGTGGGGTGCAGGGAAGGAGGGTAGGGGAAGGGAGGTGTAAATTTAAGAATTTCATTTTTTTTAAAGGGTAATTTAGACATTTTATATTTTTTTTTTAAAAAAGGGGTGTGTTTATATGAGAGTGGAGATGTGTTTATCACCAGCCAAGAGTGAAACTAGAAAGCTGTGTTGAGAAAAGCTAAATGGGCTTGGAATCGCAAACAGAAACAGCCCAATGCAATGCAGTTGAATGCCACTTTGCTCTCTGCCATCTGCCATGAAAGAGACACCTCACCTTTGCTGTTTCTAGTTTTTCCTCCTTATCTTTCAAATCCAATGCACATGCCTATGGAATTAAAACCACATTTAAGGTCCACACTCTACAGTCTACACAAATACGGATAAAACCTATCACTCATCATACACTTGTAAATTATAGATATGTGATACAAAGAAATCAAATCTAAGGGAAAATAGATATATGTTTATAACTTTTCTAAATCCAGCTCAATAAAACTTGTACAAAGTTAGTTCAAATATTTTTCTTCTTAATTCAATTTATGTATACACTTTCAATTAAATTATATATTAAACATATTTTTTTTAAAAAAATATAATATATAAAAAAATAATATAATCTATAAAAAAATTAATATAATTTTCCGCCTAAATAATGCTACTTATTTTAATTTGTTCATTTTTTAAATAAAAAGTAATGAGACCAAGTTTGAACAAAAAAATCCGATGCCTAATATGTGTTTTTCTTGTAGTGTGTTTGTTTAGAGTTTAGAATGTATCAATCGTATATTTTGCAATGTAGTAGGGTGAAGTTTTCATCGTGTCAAGTCGATCTCGTTTAGTCGGTGAAGCTTTTCTCTTTCGGTTCCTTCTCCACTTTCATCCTAATGTTGCAATGTTAATGCTCCTAACCTTAAAGACGGAGCCAAGGGGGGACCTACGGGTGCCACGGCCCCCCCAACAATTTTAATTTTTTTTTATATACATATATATTACTATATGGCACCCCCTATTTTTAATATAAACTTATATGTATAATTAAATGAATAACCCAAATTTATTTTTTTATTCAACTTTTGGACTTCTGGTACGACCTGCTATGTGGTATCACTTTGGAATTTTTTTTTTTTAAAAAAAATGTAGCGCCTCATTTGATCATTCCAATTCTTGGCCCCCCAGTATTGAAATCCTGGCTCCGTCCCTGGTCCTTAATGCCATTACCTTGCTACGAAAATGACATTATATAACTATGCCAACATCAAACATCAAATGACATTACAAACACCTAATTGGATGGTATAAATATAATTGGGTTTAAAATAAATTTGTAAATTATATTATGTTTTTTTTTTCATACAATCCATATTCTCTAAGAAACAATTTTATTTAAATTATAAATATCTACAAACTTAAATTATCACGTGAATGTGACTCAATTAGTTAATATTTGTTTTTATTAGTTTGAATTTGAGATCGACTATAATTTCTTTCATATTTTATATCATTTCATACAAATTTATATTAAAAATAAGTTAAATAATATGTAGTCTTACCGAAAAATTTTAAAGAAGTTAGTGATTAACTTTAATGTTAGATAGAGTTTTAACTTGTCCAATCATCATATAAAACTTTTATGTAACAAAAAAATAAAGTTTAAATCCATAATATAAAAAAAACCAAGCATGTACCGATTGAACTAAAATGAATTTCAATTTTATTTTGAAAATTGTGGGAAGAAGGACATTTACCCCATGGGACAATGTTATAGGGCCCTTGTGCTTTATTTGTTTCCCACTATGGGTACCTAACATGGGGTTTCTTTGCAGAGCCGTATGCAAAGGAACACCCAAATGTTTATCTCATTTACAGCTAGCTTGTACTGTCCATGCCATAACAACTACAAAATAAAACATATACCAAAAAAGAATCACAAGAACCTCATTCCCAAGTCTTCAAAGCATGCAAGCACTCACCTTTTTTTTTTTTTTTTTTTTTTTCACTTTCATGTATCTAAAGCACATTTTCGAGAGATCAATCAACAAAGCTATTTTTGAATTTTGACTCTACCTTCTTCCTCTGAACGGTATTATACTATGATGTTAAAACTTCACACCCACCACAAAAGGGAGAGAGAGAAAAAAAAAAAAAAAAAAA